TAGGAAACGGGGGCCACATGTAAAGGTTATTATTTAAGTGACTCATAAAAACCTCTATTAAAATTTGCATTCTGGAAATTGTTTGCAAAAGGGCTAATCATACTTTCAAATGCCAAACGGAACCATGTTTTTCATGGATAAAACAACGGAAAGCTAAATAACTTTAAAGGTTATTCAGGTGTTTGCACATTTCTACCACGCAAAACAAATTTGGCAAAAAATCTCCAGATCGCAAATAAAAGATTGAGGTCCTGCGCAGGCGAACCTGTTTGCTTTCTCAGACGAGATAATGAGATGAAACGCGGTAGGGCCTCTGCGGTGCATTGCGGAAATGTCGGAAGCGGGATTAGCTAGGACTTTGTTATGGGAAAACAACAACGCGGAATTGGGCCAAGAGATCCTTGGAGAAGAGGAAGTTAAACAGCAAGTAAAATAAATCCCTGAACGTAAACAAACATGGGATGGGAGGGGAAGGGATATGGGGGCATCATCAGTGTCCTCATCCTCCCAATCCACCGAGCTCACTACACAAAAGCCCTAAAAACCAATTAGTAAGCAGGGCCAGCTGACTTTTAATTAACTGGGTTACCTGTGTATGCTTGTGACTAATTTCCATGGTAACAAATCCAAATCCGGCACTGTTTCTTAACTGCCTTTTGTCGCCCCTCGGTAACGCGATCAGTTTCAAACAATATTCCCATTATAACGGCAAAAGCAAATGGGAATTTGCAGGGCTGCACAGGGACCCCCAAAGTACATTTGTCTGTTGACCAAAATGAATATATAATTTCTCAGACCTACGACGGCATATTTGAATTGTTTAATCAACGGCGAATTGCTTTATTTCTAAGAGGGGATCGACCAATACGACAAGCCGTCGTGGACTTGTGGTGGATGCTAAGCGATACGGCTTTAACATCGTTACAGAAACGATTACGCTGGCTCTCTAGTTTATCTGCTGCGGTAATTATACAAATGCCGGCAGCTGCGGGGATGCCCTTTGATGTAAGGAGTCAAGTGGGCTTCATTGCCACACCGTCCATATAGAAGTAAACAGTGGCATGAAACAATGCTCCCCCAGTGCAATATACAGCAGCAAGTGACTGATTAAAGGATTCCAGTAGTGCTTCATCTATCCGCAGGGAGGACAATGGCGCTCATTTTGATGGGCCATCCAAAAGGCAGAGATGAGGGCGATGCCAGTGCGTGATTGGTTAAGGGCGTAGCTGGAGTTTGTACAAAGCAACCCCGACCTCAGATTTCAAGATGGCTTCACCCTACGTCAACAAAAATGAAAGCTGTACTTATATACTGTTTAGTAGCACTTCTTGCTTATTTGTGTTTCATTAAATGCGTCGTACTTGCATTACTGTCCAACCTCTATCTGTGGACTATGTCGCTACAGTGTTTGTATGTGCAAAATACCATATAATGTGTTGTTATCAACTGGTATTGCTAACAATGGCTAACAATAAACCTGGCTAGGACTGGTATTGCTAACAATGGCTAACAATGATCCTAGCTAGGACTGGTATTGCTAACAATGGCTAACAATAAACCTGGCTAGGACTAGTATTGCTAACAATGGCTAACAATGATCCTGGCTAGGACTGGTATTGGTAAATGGGTCTCTGGCATGTTGTGCTGGAATGTGGTTAACAGTGGCGTAAAAGACAGGAATTAATACAGTGGGGGGTATTCTCAAGGTAGCGGGTATTTAGTGTATTCCTACTTAAACTTTAACGAACTGTCATACATTTGTTGATCTTTTATTGAGTGAATTTTAACTTTTGCAATGATTTGTTGGGGCGGCAACTTCAGCATGGTTAACAAACATAGGCCAAGGAAGATTGCTAAACTTTACTGGAACTAACTTGGATAATCTTGGCCATGTTTGTCAAGTAAGAGCCACTCGTAGGGCAAAGGTCATTCAGCGCTTACCCGTCGCTCTCTTTCTGTGGAGTTTTGCCTCCTGCTGTGAGCTGTTGGGTTTTTAAACAACCGGCAGGTTTTCAGACTATCGCATATAAGGTTTAACAAAGAAAAAACAATTTTAGTTTTCTTTGTCTTATTGCAACTGTAATATGATGTCATCTATTGTATACTATATGTTAAGGCTCTTCAAATCTGCCCATTGATTCCAAATCCAGGCCTTGTTTTCAGTTCTCCCAGGTACTTAGTTTAATAATTGCTGATTCTGATTGGCCAGAGGCTTCACACCTGGCTCACAGGTTAAGGTAGGCTGGAAAACCTTGAGGACCGTGATTTGAATAGCCCTACTATGTGTATTTATGTCTTTTATTTATTAATTATTTAATTTAGTTTATTATTTGTCAATATAATCGATATCTATATTCATATCTCAAGTAGGAGCCTAGCAGTCGACACATGTTCTGGTAAATTGAGCAAAATGGGTGGATTTTACCTTGTTGCCAAGGGGAACCAATAGAGAGTGAGAATTGTGTTTGTTATACGTTTGAGCTTGGTTTGTTAGTGTTTTGTGACCAATCAGGACTTAGAAGTCCTTATCTGGAACTAAGAATTATGCTTTATCAACGTGCTCGTGGTACCTGGTACCAGAGTGTGGCAGGAGCGCATTGCTGCATTGCTCGAATAAAGGAGATAACTTTGCTCACCAGCTGAGAGGTCCGGAGTTTTATCCTAAGTGGCTTCACTGGAGTTATTGGAGGGGATTTATAATTTTTCTACCACACTGTATTATTTATGCGTGTTTTATTATGTGTGTTGAATGCCGTCCGAAGACCAAATTGCCCCCTTGGGGACGATCACAACAATCCAAATCCATTTCCTGAAGTGGCAGCCTGTCTTGGATGTCGTGCCATCTTCCTGGTGCTGCGTCGGTGCTACGCCGGATGTGTCGGTAGCCTTGATATTTGTATTAGCCTAACGGGAATGGTGTGCCAACTCCTAATTAGGCTCCTGTCTAGTTAAGTGCTTTCCAGGCCTTTGGCGATTTATGGCAAGGTTTCTTTCCTACGTTTCCTGTCACAACCAGCCGATGATGTCGATTAAATTACTTATTTCATCTCGAGCGCTTTCCCTTTAATTGCCGTGTGATGCGGCAGTCTGCCGTCACATGACCCGAGATTCATGCTGTCGGCTCAAATTGGACGGTAAGTATGTGTCTTTCAGAGGCCCTCGAATCGTTAATAAAGCCAACCCGCTTTGTCTGCCGCGCCGCCGTTGCCGTCTCTATTGATTCGCCTGAGCTCTAACTCCCTGAGCACTTCAGGACGATGAAGAACTATTACCGTTACTCCGAAGGCGTGATTATATTACCCAGAACAAACAATGTTCGGATGGAAATCCGGCGCGGGAATGGAATCAGCCAGCATCGCGTACTCTCGGAAAGGGCCGCTCTTACCCTGGGATGTCCGGGGTGGCCGCGCGACGGACACAGTTCATGTATCAAAGAATTATGCAATAAACAAGCCAGCAAATAACACTACAGCTGCTTCCTCTTCCCTCCTTTCAGCATCACAGCTGCTCATTCTAGTCCGACACCCACTTTAGGGAATCAGGTGGCAGCTGTGCCTGAAATAAGGAAACGCAAAGTCCAATGCATGTCCAGGCTTCTGCCCTATACTTTATGTTATTAAACAGTGTGTGTGTGTGTATATATATATATATATATATATATATATATATATATATATATATACACA